ATACCAATACTTAGAGTTACGCACCCACTTTCACACCCCCCATTACAGACCTTGGCAATCAAGAATAAAGAGTATTAGATTTTCTAGAGCTTTTTTGGAAAATTGATCAAGTTATAATTTTGAAAAATAATGAGCATCATTATTTGCGACTTGATTAATATATATGTTAGTGTATAAGATCTGCTGTAGATATTATAGATTTGTAAAACACACTTATTTGTCAATCAATTCAACGATTATAATAATAAGAATGCTAAATTAAGAAAAACGAATTTGACAAAAACGAAAAATAATGAGCGAATAGCAACAATGAAAATGAAAAATTGGGCGTCTGTAGAAAAAAAATTGTCCGAAATGCAGAAATTGGAGAATGTTTTATTGCAGTGATTAATTATTCTGAAAAGCAATTATAGTTTACAAGAGATTTTTTTTTCATTTCACGTTTTTTGTATTAATTTATTGAGGCTATAAAGCATATGTGAGTTCCACATTTCAGCCCCAAAGGGGCTGCGCTAACAAGCTTTTTTATCATGAATCTCTTAATACTATATCTAACCGGTTATTTCAATCCTCAGTGGCTTAACTGTATATCTAATTTCCTAATTGTATCCTTTGTCTCTGATTCTGCATCTAACGCTTATTTCTAAATTTTGTGCATTACCCGCATATATAATCCATAAGTTCTATCTATGGTTCATTTTTTGTATGGAAAACTGTTTTTTGTATGTCCTACTAAATATTTCTATTCTTAAATCGTTATTCTTGTATCCAACACGTAAATTTGATATGTGAGTCTTAATATCTACATTTAATCCGTTATTTGTGTATAATCCATTGTTTCTATATATAACATCTTGCTTACAAATTTAGACGTTTTATTCAATGTACAATCTCTTAATCCTATGTATTACTACTCCTTCCTTTGTGTAATCTGTTATTTATCTTCATGATTCGTTTTCTCTGTGTCTAATCCTTTATTGGTACATGAACCCTTAGACATTTGTCTAGAGCCTGATGTCTATGCCCGGCGCTATGAATATATACCCGATTTCATTTATGTATACTCTGTTTATTCAGAAATCCCTTGTACGATATACAGTCTTGGACAAAAGTAGGTACCCCCCCCCCCCTGAAGTTGCGTTATATTTCATCATTTTGAACTGATATTTTGTGTGCCTCTTGGCCCCATTTAACCCTGATCGCAAGCATCACTCCACCCTCACTCGGTTGGCATTTGCTGAAGATATCACTCGTACATTTTCGTCACCTTGTCAAGGTCATATCTCGGTCATTATTCGATATTTACTTTCGCGAAACCCTCCATTCAAAAGCCCGTTGATGCAGATATCCCCAGTAAATTTTTGGTGGAAAATGACTCTGAAATAACAGAGATTCAAGGTTAACATTGAAAACTTTTACCAAGCAGAAAGTCCTATTTTTCAGTCTGGAATCAATAACTCAAGCTAGAATCAATCAGTGCAGCTGAAACTTTTAGCCGTAACTCATCATCGACCCACAAGTTTGTGATAAAACTTCTAGAGCTATGGCTCTGTGTAGAGCTGAGATAGAGCTGTCGGAAGAGTTCACCACGCCACAGCTTATCCATCAATGGAGACATGGTATTATGAGACCAGCTTTGGACCCAAGCAACTAGGTATGTTGGGCTACAATTAGCATAAAAAAAAGTGAAAAATAAATTTGAAGAGGACGAAACTACGAACGAAAATTTTTTGAGATGGTATTTTCCCTCGATTTCTTCCATAAACCGCCAGCAATGTATCTATGCGTGATACACTTCTCTATTAGGAAAGATTTGACATCAAAACCATTTTGCTGACTTCACAGATTTTCTGCTTCATTGAATTAGGCTCATGCACTTATTTTCTGGATTGTTCTGATCCAAAAAGACTATTTCTGGACAGATTAGCGTAAATTCACTAGTATTTGACAGTTTCACGCGCATAGATACATTGTTGGCGGTTTATGGAAGAAATCGAGGGAAAGTGCCATCTCGAAAAATTTTCGTTCGTAGTTTCGTCCGTCTAAAATTTATTTTTCATTTTTTTTATGCTAATTGTAGCCCATCATACCTAGTTCCTTGGATCCAAAGCTTGTCTCATAATACCATGTCTCCATTGATGGATAAGCTGTGGCGTGGTGAACTCTTCCGACAGCTCTATCTCAGCTCTACACAGAGCCATAGCTCTAGAAGTTTTATCACAAACTTGTGAGTCGATAAGGAGTTATTGCTAAAAGTTTCAGCTGCGTTGATCGATTCTAGCTTGAGTTATCGATTCCAGACTGAAAAATGGGACTTTCTGCTTGGTAAAAGTTTTCAATGTGAACCTTGAATCTCCGTTATTTCAGAGTCATTTCCCACCAAAATTTTACTGGGGATATTTGCATCAACGGGCTTTTGCACGGAGGGCTTCGCGAAAGTAAATATCGAANAAAAAAATAATGCATTGAAACATTTTATGAGTTGTATAACATTAGAGCAATTTTTTTTTGAAAAATAATGTGCCGAAATTCATGAAATAAGTTACATTATTATGTATGATAATATCCAGAATGGCCAATAAGCAAAATAGGTAGATTATTCATTTTTAATGCAAATTTATCAATAACAAAATGGGAATAGATTATAGAATCAAAAAGTAGCATCACTTGAAACTTTTTCAACAAATCTAAGCAAGATAAGGGTTATATATTAAAGTATGCTTTGACATTATGAATCAGAAAATTAAGAAATATTCTCTTGTTAATAGAAATATACAGTTTTTAAGAAAATAAAAAACTGAATCTTCTCATGAAATGAAAATTTCGACAATGTAAAAAATTGTTGCGACATCAAAAAAATACTGAAAGAGTTATTTTTTTTCTTTGCATCCAGTATTAGTATTATAAGATCGTTATAGAACTTAAGTAGCGTGTAGAAACAGCAATTTATAAAATTTAAATCTTCACAAACTAAGAAAAATTCGACATATTTATACAGTGACTTTCAAAATTATTCAATTAATGAATAATTTTATTGTATTTTGTGTATGTCTTAAAAACGAGATAAACTAGAATGATCTGGTTTTCGTCAAATTACAGTCTATAGTTTCTAGTATACTAATAGAAAAATTCAAGGTTAATCCATTGATCTGTTTTGTTTTAATTAACGATACAATCACAGCATGCCATTTTTCATCCTTTCAAAATTATCCAATCACTTTTTTTTTTGCAAACTATTACGAGCAAGCTTGTTATAAATTGAGATTTTCTGTGTGATGCATGATTCAACAAAACAAATTCTGCTCTACATAAGGAGTACTTTTTATTGTAGCTTTCCTTTGAGTTAGGCATTAAAAGAAAAATTTTTGTGACACATATCGGAAACTGTCAAGAAAAATGTGACTAAAGACAATTTATTTTTCATGCGATGCTTATTTTATTTTATAATTCACTATATCATTAGCAAGGATACTACAAATTAGATGAGATATTCTATTAGAATCGATATTTTATGCTAGAAATTTATGCTGGTCGTCTCCTTCGTATATAAGAATTACAGGTACACGTTTCTGTACGAAATCATTCACATATTGAGAGAACTTTATAAAATCGTTTTCACAGCGTGAATTTGTAGGATATCTTTTTCTTCATGAAAATCTTATATTTGAAGTTAAAACCGATTATATCACTTAAGTTATATATCTTTGTTACATTATAAATTGAAGGCGTAAAAAGCTTGTCGTAACCTCAGCAGCATATAGAATATGTATCTCACGAAAAAAACAAACGTGATCCTCAAAAATGAACTATGTATTTAATCAGATCTACATATAGGCTGTTATTTGGACTATGATAAGTTTTTTACTCCTGCTATTTATAACGTAACGAAGATATACAGCTTAAGTGATATAATCGGTTTTAACTTCAAATATAAAAGCTTTGCATAGAAAAGACTTCGTATGAATTCATGCTGTGAAAACAATTTTTTATTCTTCCTCAATGTGTGAGAATGAGTTCATAGAAAAAGATCTGTCTGCAATTTCTATGTACGTAGAAGACGACCAACATAATGTTCTAAAATGAAATATCGATTCAAATATAATACCTCATGTAATTTGTAGTGCTGTTGCTAATGATATATTAAATAATAAAATTGACTGAAAATCATATGAAAAGTAAATTGTCTTTTGTCACGTTTTTCTTGACAATTTCCACTGTGGCTCAAAAAGACAATGTTTTTGTTTTATTTGTACTCAAAGAAAAACTACGATAAAAAGTACTCCGTATGTAAAGAAATTTTTTTTCTTTTGAATCATATATTATAGAGGAAATTTCAACTTATAACAGGCTTGCAATATTTTGCAAAAAAAAAATGTGTATCGTCAATAAAAAACTAAACAAATCAATGGATTGATCTGGAGTTTTCTCATTAGTATACTAGAGATGATGAGTTGTAATTTGACGAAAACCAGATCATTCTAACTCATCTAATTTTTGAGATATACAGAAAATAAATATAATTATCTATTGATTGGATAATTTTGACAGCTACTATATACTGGATTTAGATATTGATCTAGATTGTTTTAAATCCCTTTGATTAGAGTTAAATTTCAAAAAAATTAATCAAAGTTCAAAATATTTGATGTGGCTATCAACAGATCTAATACAAATATTCCTCATGCCTTCATAAAGATAACTAAAGCAACATTAATTAAAGTTTGTTAATCCAGAAAGATCTCAATGAAAAATAATGGTACAATTTCGAATTCATATTTCACATTCCATCGAATAATATGTAGCTGAAAATAGATATTTGTAGTTAAAGTTGTTACATCAAAAACTAAAAAAATTTACATTTCAAAACTCGGAAAAAAACTTAGAAAGCAATTTTTATTATGAAAAGATGTTATGATCCTATTATAGTATATTATACACATGCTATCAGAACGATATTTCATAATTAAAACCGATAAAAACATTCTATACATCGAGTTAAGTTAGTATGGTCAAAACTGAAAAATAATTCAATTTTTAGCACTTTTTTTTTCAGATAAAACTTTCAGTTAATATTACAACTAGACACATTTCTGATTATTTTTTTCGATAATATCAGATGAATTGCTTTCGCAATGAGATTCTTTAGTTGCTCTCGAAAGTGTACTTTTTAACACATAGAATATGTCTTTTTGACATATAACGAACAGCATGACGTCTTTATTATCAAGATGCTTTAATTTAATTTTGTCATCTCTTCATCATTATGAAGAAGTCATTTGAGCGTTATCATACGAAATGTATTAGAAACTTTTTTTTAACATTCTTTCTAATAGCTTTTAAAGAAAAAATGTTATTTCCTTCATTTTATTAGTAGTGTCAGAGAACTACTTTCGAGTAGAACCCGCAACAAAAAAGAAAAAGATCAAAGTATCAAAAATTCGACCAATTTTCTATAGTAAAATGTAATAACACTACCTAATAAAATATCCCTGTGCAAATCTTTACTTGTCCTACGCTTCTTGCAAAAAAAAAAGACTTGAATCTTCTAGGATCCTACATGTTTTTAATATTGCGCTAATATGAGCACAATATGAAAAATCAGATTCACGACATCATCAGTAAAAAATTCTTCAGCAAATAATGACCTTTGATGAGAAAACTCAATAGCTAACAAATATATTGACCGAAAAAAAATGAATCAAAGGAAGATAAGCTATACATAAACACACAGTAATGAGCAATTATTACACTTCCATCAGGTAGACATTTAACCAGAATTCTAAGATCTGAAAATTTGCTGATTTTTCAGAAGATCTAATAATCTTATTTATAACCAACTTGAAATATAAATAACATTTATTTTTATTTTTAATTAAATATTTCAGACACCTTATGCTCGTATTCGTTCTGGCTCATCAAATACATTTAATCAAGCAACAACTATTAGTCAGGAATTAAATGCTGTTTCAATTCCATATTTAGATAATGATTCGAAAACATTTCAATGGCTTGTATCAACACTTGAACGGTGGTATTCAAATCAAGGTTGGCCAAAAGGTACACATGCTGTTAAAATTCCTCAATCATTTCGAAAGTAAATTTATCTTATTTCTTTATTTTTTTGTTTGTTTGAAATACATTTGTTTTGTTTTGTTTTTCCTCTATAGTGCATTATTTAAACGACTATTTGAAACAGTTGGAACCAAACAAAATGCAAAAGAAGAACAAAAAACAATCTATGATATGATAACACATTTAAGTGGACATTCATTACCAGGTATACCACAAAATTCTGTACCACCAAAAAAAATGGATGAAGCTACAAAACAATATGTATGGCAACATCGTTTATTATTATTGTTTTTAAAGTATTTTATCAACTTATAAACTTGATTTATTATAAAAAAAAAGAATTGTACTTTTTTCTATTGCTTTTATAGAACACAAGGTTCATCTACAGCTTTTATTCGTCCAGAATATCTTCTTCCATTCGATTTATATAATGTTTATGTACAAATACGTGAAACAGCTTTAACAGCAAATATATCTAATGAACAAAAAGATGCTGAATTATCTCAAGAACTTACAAAACCTCTTCATTTATCACAAGAAGTTTTTGAAACTGTATCCAAAAAAACATGGGTCGATGTACTTATGCAAACACTTAAAGTAATTCTTTAATTTGTTTCTATGAAATAAACCATTCCTATCTCTCATATTAAAAAGCCATAGGGTTCTTTTCTTTGAAAAATTCATATCACTCTTCCAAGGGTGGCTTTCTATTGCGGCCTAACGTTTTTACTAACATTAACGTAGAAAATCAAGGATTTTTGAAAAAAAAAAATTTTTGTGTATTCAAATAGACATTATGAGCAACTCACGAGGGAACCTTTCTAAATTCGAGCTAATAGCTTAGTACTGCCGAGATACTGTATTTTTACCGAATATTCTTAACGGAATACCGTGGTCCCCTTCAGAAATACCAGAAAAAGTGAGTTTTGCATTTCGACTTGAAACTTTCCATAGAGACAGATCTTAACGGGAGTAGCCTATTATAAAAGTTTCAGATTTTTTGATTGTGTTTATTCTGAAATAAGAACATCGGAGTTCATCATTGTATCTGGACGCCCTGGAAAGTCTGCTTTTACCGTAGACCCATCTTAGGATAGAGGCACTCAAAAGATTTAAAGCTTCTACAATAAACTATTCTCATTAAGGCGTGTCTTTATACAAAGTTTGAAGTCTAAATTTAAAATTGCGTTTCCCGGTTGTTCCTTCCTTAGAAGGTCTACGACATGCTGCTAAAAAATATTATATCTCGGCAGTAGTAAGCTATTAGTCCGAATTCTTTTCAGGCTATTCATAGCTCATTAGAAAACTACATGATGCACATAGTCTTGACTTAGAAACAATTTCACACTTAGAAACATTTCTTCGTAAGCAGCAGAAAATCAGGTTTCTTACTAGAAACAAAGGAATTTTGATTACAAAAAAAAATCGGTTTTAGGTGCCGAGTTTCTGAAAAAAGATTTTGAACAACCTATGACTTTCTATTACGTCTTATGAAGTTTTTCTTGTGCATGGTCTTCTAATCTTTTCGGATTGAAATCTTTTTCTTTCTGTTTTCTTTTTAGAGTCTCGTACTTGGTCGTATAACACCAAAATCATATGAACAATTAGGCATACCTGATCGAAGTAAACTAATGCCAGATATAAATACCGATCCAACATCAAGTAATATTTATGGTATTAGTGAACGTATTTTATTAACATGGCTTAATTATTGTTATTCAAATTATCGTGAACAAGTTTGGACACATCGTGAACAATGTAAAGAAAGTTTTAGTACCTATAATTTGAGTTGAATCTATGTTTCAGTCATGCTGATGTATGTACTCGAGATATTTTGTATGATAAACAAAAAAGGAAAGCGATTAATTTCGAAAAGAAATAATAGTATTATTATTGATTTATTCTGAATGAAAAAAAATTTTTCCAAGAAAAAAAAAAATAATAAAAATTGATTATTTGTTTTATTATTTTAATTCTAGCTAACGTGCCATCTGGTCGTTGGATTGTCAATTTCGATATTGATCTTGTTGATAGTATTGTACTTGGCACAGTTTTGGGTGCCTATTGTCCATTTTTAGTACGTAGAATTTATCGAAAAATTTCTTGATCAAAGAAAATCAATTTTTTATTTTTATTTACTATTAGATTGAACTTCATTTACAACGTATGTATGTTCATCCAACTACTGGTGAACAATATCTACAAAATGCACTTATTATTGTTTCTTGTTTATTACAACTTGGTCTTGAATATGATCTTCAAGCATTAGATGTAACACGTGCTGATCCTATATGCATGTGTTTACTTGTTTGTTATTTATATGAACATTTACCTGATTACTTATCGAAAGGTACAATACAATTTGGTGGTGTTTTACATGAACCATCAACATCCCAAGTTAAAATAACAAATCCAAGTACACAAACATTAACTTATTCAATGAATATTATTGGTCGTGATGCTGATGAATTTCAACTTGTTAAAGGTACAACATTAAGTATACCAGCTAAAACTTCATTATTCGTTAATGTTCAATCGAGAAATAAACGTCTTCGACCAACTGAAGCTGTTTTATTATTATATGGAAAACGAACAAGTACTTATCCAGGTTCAGCTATGGTCTTTTATTTACAAGGTTCAATACAAACAATTACACCAAAAGTAAGATATAAAATAAAAAGAAAAAAAAAAGAGAAAGAAATTCTTTTTCACTGATCATATTTTTATGCATGTCAATGAAAACATTTGTTTTCTATTATCCTTCTTCTCATAACTAGTGTGTTTATTCGACAAAGGTAAAAATCAATTTTTTTTAATATTTTGTTAGTTCACTTGTAATGTTTGTTGTGGTTGTTGTTTACTTGTTTGACTTTTACACCATCTTGATCCAGTGTTGAGAATATCGATAATAATTATTTTGTTTATTTTAATTAGAAAACTCATCGTATTGAAGCACCACTTTATAAAATAACAAAATCAACAATTGAAATAACAAATCCATTTGATCAAAATGGTGTCTTTCAAGTAGCTATTGTTAATTCATCTGAAAGTACACAAGAAATGAAAAATCCATTAGCTACATCCATTGAAGAGTGAATATTTTTTTTTGTCTTAGATATTCTTTTAGATAAGTCTCTCTTTTTTTTCTTGTTTATAGAAATAAAAAAGACACAGTTGAAGAATTATTTCAGAATTTAAAAAAAAATAAAAAAAGATCAAATCAAAATCATGATGCTGATTGTTTTTTTATTGAACAAACTTCAATTGAATTAAATGCACATGAAACAAAACATTTTGAAGTTCAATATATTGCAACAACGGCCAAACGTCGTGAAGCATTACTTGTTTTTATGAATGAAACAATCGGAGAATTTCTTTTTCTTATTGAGGGCATTCCAAAGAAACCTGAGTATGCTTTTGTAAAATATTTATATTGTACGCATACATCTGTTCTTTTTTTTTGTAGACCATTTCCTGTATCTAGTGACAAAGCATTGAAATTCGATCAGAAAAAAGGTAAGCAATCAATTATTGAAGCGAGTGTCTTTCATGTTAACATATCTTGAAACAAAATTCAGTCATGTTCTTTTCTATTGAGAATTATCTTGATCATAATAAGTAGCTCATAAAGATTCGATTCTCTACAACTTTGCATTTTTCATTTAAGCGGGACAGCATGCATAATTTGCTTAGATTCAACGAGTTGCCTTTTTTATCAAACTTTTTGTATTGAGCTTGCGATATGACTTTGTCAACTATTCTTTTAATCAGATAAGACTCAGGTCAATTATCAATTTGAAACTAGCTCTAATGAAATCTTCAGATAATAAACTACTCAGGTACTCCTTCTATGTATGGAAGATGATCAATATTATTCCTTTATGAATAATCAAGAACGAAAGAATGCCGATTATGATCATATGCATAAAGTTTCAGAGAAATCGCGCCAGTGTCTATCTTATTAATTAATAATACTGGTTAAGTTTTTGATTCTTCTGAAGATTTTATTGAAACTAATTTCAGACTGTTAATTGATTAAAGTCTTGCGTAACTAAGAGAAACACTGACAAAATCACTCACAAATATCAGTGCAAAAAGCTTGATAAAAAAGAAAACAGAATTTATTGGGTATAAATAAAACAGGTATGTTATTCCATTTAGGTGAAAGATGCAAAATGGTAGAGAAATGAATGAGGAATCTATCAATAGAAAAATTGTCTTACTATGTCGAAAGGCTGCTGAAAAATACGAGAAATACTAAAAGGTCTATTTTTTATGAGCTACTCGTTAGAACACTTAAGATATATTATAGAAATGGTTTTTATATTGTCGAGGAATTAAGAAATTATATCTGCAGATAATGTTTACAAAAAGAGAAAAATTAAGAATTCTTTTGCTGTGCTATTTTAAATGATAATGAATCAAGTTGGATCATTTCTTGTCCAGGCTAAAAAGATTTAGACGAAAATAGAGACGATAAAATCTACTAAACAACGCAATTACTGTTAGAATTTATAGTTCAGTCTAGTAATTTATAATTCCAAAAGAAACTCCCATTCAGCAAAGTCTTTGCATTGACATACTAAGAATAAATGTCAAAAGAAAATCTAAAGTCTCATAATCCAAATTTAATCTTCTGTTTTAAATCTTGAGAAAATAGAGTTTCTCTTCAAGCATATAACTCTCATGTATAAAATATTTAAAATTATCATTTCATTATTTTTATTAGCTAAAATAGAAAAACTACGCTTTAAAGCTGTTGTCGGTGTAACAAGCGTATTTGATATTGATATTCCTGTACAAAATAGTCAACGGCACAATGCTTTAGTTGCTGTTCGATGGCAGGTATGAAAAACAAAATGCCCTTCAATCTTATCATTTAATATAATTATTTATATTTAAAAAAACAAAGGGCATGTCAGAACGTGAACGACAAAAACAAACATTACTTGGTTTAACTAATCAATTGCCAGAACCTTCAAAGAAAAGTTTTCATCCATATTCTCGTTTACCTGAATTTAAAGTTCATTCATCATCAACATCGAATAATTTTACTATTCCAACAAGTTTAGCATTTCCACTTGAAGAATTGTCTGTTAAATTACCAATCCGTTTTCAAGCTGATAAAACAGGTATTTATTCAGCAAAAGTTTCGTTATCATGTGGTGATGATATACGTGATTTTGAAATTGAAATACATTGTGTTACACAAAGTGATAATGACAAACAAACAGCTACATTACATATGAGAACAAGTGTATTTACACCTGTACAACAAAATATTCCAATTGTATGTTAATATTTATTTTTTATTTCAATTTTAAAAAAAAGTCTTTGTTTTGCTCTTATTAGGCTAATGCAACTGAAGATAATTGGAATATGATAGGAACATTTTCGGGTAATAAAGCATTTTCTGGACCAAAAACATTTCGAGTTGAAGCTAAATCAGTCTATCAATATCCATTAACATTTCATCCACAAATTGAAGATGATAGATTTCAAGCTCAAATGATAATTAGTAATGCTGATACAGGTTTTACACAAACATATAATCTACGTGGTAAAGCTGATCGTGGACCACCTGTAAGTTAAACTATTTTATCAAACACAATCTAATAGGACTGTTGAATTGTATAGGTAAAAATTCGAACCCCTCTCCCCCAAAGACCATGACAGATGCTATTCATGACGAGCATTCCCAACTGTCCGGTCGATTTTTGCTTGCAGCTATTGCTATTGAATCAGTCATGATGAGTAGTAAAAATGTCTGTTTTGGTTTGGTTTTCCGGTCTTTTCGAGTTGATTTATGGGCTCGTTGTTCAGTTTTTGTTCTATGTGTATAAGATCGCTGAAAACCTAGATGATCGGATTTCCTAGTGAAATTTTGTCCATAGATAGGTTTGATATTTATTGGAAACTTCCTTCTTGTGAAACACAGCTTCAAAAAGAAAAACTTTTACTTGCAATGTAAATATCTTAGAAAGGATGCATTTGTTGTGGCTCAAATTTTGTGATATTTCTAATGACTATCAAGCCTATCTAGGGAAAAAAATTTCAGCTCGAAATCTAATCATTCAAACCTTAATGATCTTATGCTCATAGGGCAGAAGATAAGTCAAGCCCCCATAACTCAACATTTTTACTACTCATCATGACTGATCGAATGGTAATCGCCTTACAATCAAAGCGACTGAACAGTTGGAAATGTTCCTTCATTAGAGACCATCACAGACTCTATATAAATAACATTTGGTTATAATATATGAATTAGTTCTTATTGAATTTCTGAAGAATTGATTAAACGAATGATGAAGAAATATGTCTCAAGTCAGATAAAATAAAAAAATCTATTTTTGATTAACAAAAGGAGCTACATCGTATTTCATATTTTAATCGCAAAGAAATTGCGCTAACAACTTTTATAGAATATAGTTTAAAAGAAAATCTTGTCTCTCTTTCTTAGATCGGTCATTTACAATTAGAAAGTAAAGTTGGTTCAACGTAAGTTTAACTTCAAAAGAAAATAAATAAATAACTTTCTTGTTTTATTTTTTTTTCACGTAGAACAACTCATTCTATTAACATATCAAATAAAAAAGCGAAGAGAACTGCATATTTTGTCACATGTAATCTTCCATTTGTTCAAGGACCACCATATGTTTGTGTTCAACCAAAAAAATCTGCTCGATATGAATTTGAAATTTGTCCACCAAAACGAGGCACATATAAAGGTGTTGTCGTTTTTCAACCAGGACCATGGCCTATTAAGTATGTTGGAATTAAAGTAAAAAGAAAAATTCATATTTCGTTTTTTATTTTTATTTCAATAGAGATGTTGATTCAGATGGTGATGAAATTCCACCACTTGAATCAGATGATCCAACAGACTTCCAATATTCACTTTGGTTTACTGTTGATATTAATGTTCAAGCACCTAATGCCCAAGCAACAGTTGATTTAACAGCACCGTGTTTAGTAGGTTTAATTATATATGATGTTTTTCTAGCGAAAAGTGATACTAGAAAAAAAAATGTTTTTTCTTATACAATATTTTATATGCTTATTGATTGAAGATGAATGCCCTATGAATGAGTTACTATTTAAAAAGAATTTGAGAAATATTAATTTTCAAAGATTTTTCTGAACTCTTCGAACATTTGGTGTTGAATATCTCTCTCGTGATGTAACCAAATCAGTTAATTCTTATTTTGGATGATAGATGAGAGATTCAATTTTCTATTTTTATGAGAGAAATTCATTAGCTATTAATCTTGACTGCGATACAAAAATTAATTTCTTTTTTTTTTGATATTCAGAAGTATGTATAAGACACACAGTTAAAAAATTATTAAAAACTTTTGAGTCCATATTTTGTGTAGTAGTAGGAGACTACTTGACTAGAACGATTTCCAAATAGATTCGTATCCATGTTACATATTAATTGAACTACTTTATTTACTTCTGTAGAATTTCAGAAACAAAAAAAAGTGAATTTTAATCGGAAGCAACCAGAAAATCTGAAAAAATAAAACAATAAAATCAACGAAATGTTTTTGAAAATATCTATTAGGATTCGGAAATCGATAGAAGTCCCATTTCACTGTTCCGCTTGATAGGACGTCACATTTTTTTAACAAAACCTTATGATCGAGTTCTTATCTAAAATTCTAATAGTTAGATTCACACATGTTTGCGGAAAATTATGGGCGTGGCTTTGTGTGTCAATGTGAAGAGGAAAGCATTCACTCTTTTGGATAAAAAATTAAAAAAAATAAAAACTTCTTCTGGTAGTATTTGTTTTCAAGCAAGCAACATATTCAATTGATTTGGTTATAAACTAATTACTTGTAATAGAACGGATCATATTTGATGCAGAATCCTGTTCAGTTATGAATTCATTTAACAATATTGAAATCGGCTAAAATAGAAGTTACTCATATATTGAGTGAAAAAATCTCTGTCAGTATAATATCAACAAAAATATTGAATATCTAGAATAGAAATAGGTCGATGTGACCGAATATCTTTATTAATTATTTATTATTATGAATTATTCTCGATCGAGTTTAATAAAATGTTTTCCATAATTTTTCATAGATATATTTCTTCAATAATGTTATATACATTTATTATGATTAGAGAAATGATCATAACATATTTAACAGTATGTATTTTGAGAGAACACAATTCTATGATAAATATATAAAAGTCAATCAAGCAGAAAAATCACGATTTATAATTGACTTCAGTGACCTGAAAAATTTGGGAGTCTCTATATCTAGAAGCTTATTACTTCTCAGTAAAGGTGTATAAATTAGAATAATATTTTGCCTTCTTTTTTGCGAACTAGCGAATAAAAAACAGATAGTTTAATACATCTATTGAATAACTTATAATTTTTTTTTAAATTTAGGGCTCAAATTCATTAATTATTCCATTAAAAAATCCACTTGATCATCCGATACGACTAGATGTTGATTTACAAACATTACCAGATGTTTTTGTAAGCTTAATTTGATTAGTGTTGTTTTTTTTTTGTGTAGATAAATATTTATTTTTAAGGGTAATGATTCAATAGAAATAGAAGCAAATGGTGAAGCTCGTTATGAGCTTATATTCAAACCGAAAACTGTTGGAAATTGGAATGGAGGGTAAGAAGTAGAATTTTTTGAAAACAAAAAGATATCTACAAAATTTGTTTATACAAAATATTTTTCATTCGTTAATTTTTAATTAATATATTTTATCTAAAGAAAAATATCGAAAGAATATTTTTCTACTAGAATGAATTCTATTGATTAGAGAAGAAAAAAGAGTAATTAGCCGTGTTAACTGTCATAATTGTGTGTATTTTTCTGATTGATAGACAACATAAAAATAAACGTCTGAATTTCTAAAAATTGTTTTTTTTTTGTTGTTGTTTCTTTAGTCTTATCTTTTATAATGATGAAATTGGTGAATTTTGGTATGAACTTAATTTAATTAGTACAAATCCACAAAAAGTTGAATTACCATCAATGAGTGCACCACTTGGAGGGTAAGAATATATATCTATATGTATGAGTGAAATGCAATTTTACGATTGATACAAAAAAATTTAAAAGTAGTTCTATGCATTATCTGAGTAGTACATTTTATTATGCTTTATGTTTTTATTACACAATACAAGTTTCCTGCATATCGTAGGAAATATTATTTAATGGGAAAATCGATTATAGCTAGCTGAAATTTCATGTAATAAAACTGCTTATTAATCCAGAACTAATGTTTATATTGAAAGTAGAATTATTTCCGAAAATTGAACGAGTTCAATAATATAAAATGTAATATATCTTGATACACTATTCTTTGAAATAAAAGAAACTGTTTTATTTTTTGAAAGACGGTTTTTCTTCAATTTGTGTACAGACGAAGGATTTTGAAGAATATTGTCGTTCTTACACGAAAAAAATCTGTCATAGAGTATTTCTGACTAATAGGTATGGAGAAAAAGAAAATAGAGAAACGGAAAAATTATATGATTCTACAGAACACTTCAACCTCTATAAAATGGACTATTCATTATCTTTTTCTCCACTCCATTACTTCTCACACGTCTCTATATAATACACTTTTTCACACCGTAAACCCCATAAATCAGCGATAATATGAGTTAGGAAATTGGAATTTACCATGGGTATTAAACGCTTCGAGACCAGTAACACAAAAAACAATTGTTTACATCAATCAACTTATTAACTGCATACAGCTAAAATCTCGATCGTAACAAAAAAAATGTGCAATTCACTCATATATAGATATAAATTTTTGTTTAATATTGATTGCATCATTATTGTGATATTTTTCTTTTTATTTAAAGAAATTCTACGCAAGAAATAACAATTGAAAATCCACTTGACGAACAAGTTACATTTCAAACAATATTATCAAATAATAATAATTTTACAATAAATACTGATCAAGATACAATAACAATTCAACCTAAAAGTCAAGCTAAAGTTAATGTTATGTTTAATCCATCATCAATTGGAAGTGGAAGTGAACAAAAACATCAATCAAAAATTTCATTTGTTAATGATAAGGTTAATATCTCTAAAGAAGAAAAAACAGAGAATTTATTAATTTCATTTTCTTACAATTTTTTTTTTGTTTAAAATTCACCTATATTAGATTCAACCAGATCAGTATTCTTGTCCGAATACTGAAAAAGTAACATGATGCTTTATCTTGCTCTGCTGCACCTCTTTGCTCATAGAAAATTATGTTGCATTCAAAAAAAGAATTTCTTTAAATTTAGTAGATACTTGATCAAGCACGTTAAAATAATAAGGCTTAATTTTTATGCTTAATAAAACGATTATTTTACCAAACAACGGTTCAAAGTTTCTCGAGATAGGCAAACAAATTTCTTCAATAATTCGTACAAAAAAATCTATGCTAAGCGCAGTGATTATTCCGATGGTATCGACATCAGAGCTGACCACTAGACAAAGAAGCTGGTTCGATATTTAATCTAATTTTTATTAGATTTTTTGCCTATGACGCATTGTCATTAGTGATATTTAATACGTTTTTAGAACAACAATGTATTTAGTTGTTAGAATCTTCTATAATCCTAAGTCTCACGCACAGGCCAGAATTAGCATCGAAAACTTCAACGAATGATATATAATGTATTAGTCTTTTTATAACAAAATTTCCCACGTATATATACGGCAAGGATCTTTCACAATGAATATTTTATTTAAAAAAAGCTTTTGTATCAAATTTGATTTTTTCAGATAACATTGATATTTGAAAGATCATAGAGCTGTATTGAGCAGAATATAAGGTGTTTCTAAGTTTAAAAAAAAAACACATGTCCGCTTGATCTATGAAAAAATCCCTACTATGTTCTGTGTTCAGTTCTGATCGACAGAAATACATGTCGAGATTGTAATTTTTTGTTTTGGAAATAGCTCATACCATGTCGCACGCTTGTTCGCACTATCGTCAGTTGATTGCCACCATCGGCAAATACGACCGGTAAAGTACATATTATACGAAACAGTCTACCTATGGTTTTTGTCTGATTCGAATGCCATGGTAATATTTATCTAAATATCTCATTGCTATCCTTGCTGTATGATCTACGTTTTGAAAAGAAATGTATTCAATTTAATCATTTTTTCTGTTATATTTGGATGCGTAATTTTGATTTAATTAGTCATTTAATAATATTCTTTTTTTTGTTTTAGCTTGGTACATTAAAATATACTGTTAAAGGTGTTGGTACAAAACCTCAAAAACAGCAATCTCCTGTTATTATGAAAGGTGAAACTGGTGTTAGTTCAACAACAAATATTGATTTTCAAAATCCATCTAATCATCCTATTCGATGTGATCTTTCTCTTTCATCTAGTACGGAAAAAAAATTCTTTCTATAAAATGAACTTTGTTCTTTTTTTTTTTTTTATTTAATAGGTATTAATAATTCATTTCGTATTTTACTTGATAAAACTGAAAACATACCAATTGGACCACGAGAAAAATTTCATATTCCAATTGCTTTTTGTCCAGAAACTTTATCTCGACATGACACACAATTACGTATTATTGGACGATTATCAGAAGGAAAAACTTGGTCACCAGACAAGTAAAAAGAAATTGTTGTTTTGTTTTACTTTAACACATTGTTTAATGTTTATATTTGTTGTTTTTAAAGTCCTGATGCATCTGAACTTTCATGGACATATCCTTTACAAGGCGTCGCTTATAATTGGATTCATCAAAAAGATGAAGCTGAAAATCAATTGAAAGTAATTGAATGTGTTGCTGGTGAACGAATTGAGGAACAACTTGAATTTGAATTAAATCGACAATTATTTCGTTTTGATAATCGACATTTTACTAGTAAAAAAAAACGAAAACCGTTTTTTTTCTCTGCAATAAAAATAATATCTTACTGTATTTTAGTGAAAAGAAATCCAACTGCTATTGAAAATTATACAATTATTAATGAAACTACTTCGACTCAAGAGTTTGTTCAAAATTCAATTGGTATTCAACTTCTTAAACGTGATAATGACAAAAGTGATATTGTTCGTTTTAATATTGTTTATACACCAACGAAATTTATAACGTAAAACTTCTTTTTTTTTCTTTTGTAAAGTGTGTAAATGATTAAATCTTTTGCTTTTCGTTTTACAGAATGGATTGTGTGCTTGTTTTAACACTTGCAACTGGTGGTCAATTAAAATATCCATTACGATTTGTTAAACTTGATACACCACCAGATGATGAAATTACACTTGAAGCTGTTGGTCTTAATAAAGTATCTACTATTGGTTTTCGTTTATATAGTCCACTAGAGTATGTTAATAAATAATTTTTCGATTCAATAAAATTCAATTATTTTGTTTTTAATTAAAATAGTTCGCCAATTCCATTTGAAGCTTATTTTACATCAAATAGTGATCGAGCATTTAATATAACACCAAATTGTGGTGAATTATTACCAGCAAGTTCAAATGGTACTTTATTAAAAATATCATTTTGTCCAACTGTTTATGGACGAACGTTCAATGGCTTATTAATTGTGAATGTATGTAGAAAAAAATTGTTTTTTTTTTAATGAAAAAGAAAAATGAAAGTTCGAATTGTTAGATTCATTTATTAGAAAATATTTTTGACTAAGGAGAAAAGTATCTGAGATGTTCAGTTCTGTTTTGGCTCGTTCATATCTCATTGAATAGAATATATATTTATCTCGAGAAAGACAAATTTGTTTTTGTTGAAGCTTTCAGGACTATCTAATGACTATGAAATCTATTTATAGGCTAAGTTTTAGATCAAAACTCTTTATTTTGTTTTTTATTGGAGATGAGTAGCTTTCATAAATAATGCCTTAACTCTTTGCCTATATATCACGGGCTCAAACCCTTTAAGGATTTTTCTTACCTCAATTAACTACATCGAATGAAGTATAAATGAATCAAAACGGAAGTAGATACCTCAGGTATTTCCCTCATACAAGCAAAGAGTTAAAATTTATTGCTGAGACTAAAAGCATGGTTTTAATAAACCAATCTTTCGAGTAGAGGTATTAGTGCATGGATTTGTACAATTTTTTTTTTATTCGCATGATATTTATCCTGAAAAATGCAGTAGTCAGACTATGAGAATTATAATAACTATTGTTAGAAAATTGATTCGAAAATTCGCGTATGTTAGAAAGAACTACGTCGTTGAATTGATGATCCAAGAATTAGATATAAGGTGATGGAAAAATGTTCAACAGGATCGTATTTTCGTTAAACACCTAACGCACAAATAGCCAATGGAACTTTCTATATAATACTTTCCATAGCAGTTTCATAAATGGACTGCGCTGACAAGATTTCTAAAAAACCCAGATATGATAGTTTTCTGGTCCCAAAAGACTTTGTCAGATCTATTTTAAATAGCACAAAACTCTGAATAAGATTAGGGGTAGCTCGATTTTTGTGACCGATTTCATTTTTCAAAGAAAGGCCATAGAAAATGCAGTGATCTCTCGTTTTGTTCAGAATTTTGTGCTCTTTAAAATTGCTCTGACAAAGTCTTTCTGGTATCTGTCAGCTACCGTCTCCGGCTTTCTAGACATCTTGCCATCATTGTTCATGTATGAAATCTTGGTATACAATGCATTATATAAAAAATTTCATTAACTATTAAAATCACTGTTTAAACTTAACCTAGGTGCTTAACATTATAGAGAAAAAAAAACATACATTGATGTTAAACCTCGGGATATTTGCCTATTAGTCTTATTATGATTTATTTAAAAAAATAAAATAAAATTTTTGTTTTTTCTTGTTTAGGCACAAGAACATCAATGGAAATATGTTGTTCATGGTGTATTACCACATTATGAACCACCAAAAAATCGTTCAAGCTTACCATCTGTTAATAGTGATGAATATGCTAGTCGACGAGCAGAAGCTAAGAAACGAAATTTTATTCTTGAAAATCTTCAACTTCATCAAACAGCTATCTCATCACCAATAAAAGGTGCATCTGTGTTAACAAAACCAAACGAAACAACCAGTGTTTGAAAACTTTTATTATTATTTTGTTTTTATTTCTTGCTTTCCAGTGATGTATATCCATTTAACATAGATATGCCTTAGGTCAATTGTAAAATTATGCGTTTCTGTTTTTTTTTTGTCCTGAAATTTGTGATCACACTAATATTTTCTTTTTTTTTGCTTGTCTTAATCACATTTTGAAATATTATTTTCAGATGTCATCATCTTTAAAAACAAATGAAGATCCAGTTAGTGAACGAAAAAAACTTTATATATCTGAACGGCAAATTCCAATTTTATTTGAGGTAGAAATAAAATGAATTATTTATTTAAATACGAAAATGATTTACAAAACAAAAAATTAAATATTATTTAGGCACTTATGGCTGGTTTAATGAATTTTGAACCGGATGATCATTATGATTTTATTATTGACAGTTTAACAAAAGTTTGTTTATTGATATATATATAATTTTATATATTCATGAATGGATTCTTTTTTTTTGCATTTTATTATCTAGATAAAAAAACAGAAATTACCAATTCAATGGGATACATTTATTCGAATGCATGATAAAAATAAATAAATTGCAACATGTCATTTAAAATTCTTTTTTTGCTCTTTTTTCATCATTTGTTATTAATTAGTTAAGTAATTCAACATTCGTTTATGACATTTTACTTTCTTTCTAAACATATCCGAAATCATGTTTTGGAGTAAAAAATTTTCTTTTGACATAATCTTTTTTATTCGTTTTTTTTAGATATATAGAAAAAGAAGTAATAGTATTTCAATTCATAGAAAAAATAAATATATATATTGAATTAATTCATTAGAATTTAGTCAACTGTATATTTTCGAGTAACCATGGCAACAAGACCGCACGGACTTTATAACAGTCAACATGCTACTAATTATATAAATAAAAAAGGAATTCATGAATTATTCGAGGTAGAATACTTAGACAAAAAGCAAAACTCAAAAGAGTTTATCTTCCTTTATCTTTTTTAGGCCATAATGACAGCTCTAATGGTTCATAAACCTGATGATCATATTACTTTTATTCGTGAATGTTTAGACAAGGTTGAATTTCAGTTTTCTTTTCGAAAATTTTTCATTCTATTTTTAACTATAAATTCTAGGTGCAAAATAATCCAAATCGTCTTCGCTGGGATCATTTTGTGACAAATACCAGTAATACAAAAGGTGCCTTACCATCAAGACAAGCAATTGCTAAAACTCGACAAAAACCATTGCCTCCTGTTCGCAGTTCAAATTCAACAGTAAAAACAACTCATACATCAAATCGTCAAACGACAATCAAAATACCGGCATTACCACCCATTGATAATAACAAAAAAAATTCTCAAAATCTACCTATTGTTCTTGTTCTAAGTAAATTTTTCTATTCCGAAAATAAAGAAAAAAGTTCTTAAATTTGTTTTATTTATTTTTTTTTGTTCTTTTAAGGTTCATCTGGTTCAACAAGATTATGCTCAAGATTACTCGAACGTTACGATGAAATAACTTATTTATTGATTAATGATATTGCCAATATTGATGAAGGCGATGACATCGGTAAAAATAATTTTCTTTGTTTTTAATGAAATACAATTCTCAAAAAAAAAATTGTTTTTAGATCTTAGAAAACATGAACATCGATATGATTGTGTTCAGCATGCAATAGAACAACGTCATTTAAATTCACATGGTTTTCTTATTGCTGGTCATCTTGATGAAAGACATTTTTATGATAAATGGCTAGAAAAAGTATTATTTCTTTCTATTAATTGTGCGAAATCTACATTTTTTTAAAACTAATCTTCCTATAGCTCGGACGCATTGATTTAATAATTATTTTATCATCCAATCGACAAACAATATCAAATCAAAATTTAGATATTATTCAAGTAAAATAATTAATTGTATTATTTCAATAATAATAAAAAAGAATTGTTTTTAGATCGATTCAAATAATGATTTTGACATTATACTTGCCGATACAATTCGTGCTATTGATGAAGTCTTTCCTCATAATGTAAATCTTATCAGCAGCTTTTGGGATTTCTTTTCTTTGTGGGGGAGGCTATTGGGATTTTTCTATAAATCCCGTTATATATTTTTGTCATGAAGCGAAAGAAACTAGGCTAAAGACAGATATGTAGCTGATGAAGAGGTCAACAAAAACACCTAAGGCTGTGAATCTGCTGACGAGAGGACTATCCGAACTGATAGGCGCTGTCTGAGCTCATATTGGGTCACAAGAAGGTCTCGATAAGACTTTAACAATCTTAAAATGGCTCATGCCTAGGGATCTCTAGAGCTGAGTTATTTTATTTCTACTGAATTTTCGATCCAACTTTATATATGTCGTGGAAAATCAAATAACAGAATTTCGAACTAAAATTTTACGCATAGATAGATTTGAAGACTTTGGAAATACCCGAAAAGAATATTCCTTTGTCAAGATATCGAATTGACAAGAAATGGTCGTTTGCCAGAGATATGCCACAAAAATCGAGTTTATTTGAAAATTTAATATATCAACAAAAGAACACTCCGTTCAGCTGAAATTCTCAAGGTATTCCTAGAGTCATCAGACCTATTTATGAGCAAGATATGAAGTCGAAATTCAAGTATTTAGTTTCTCGATAAATACTCAAAACGTCGTCCTACTACGACCTCGTTCTGAATCCTATAAAAGCTCTAACGGCGGGTATCAGTTTCGGCAGTTCCCTCATAAGGGTGAAGACTGACTCTTGAGGACTATGGCTCTCTTTTGATACCATTAAAATGTATTATACCCTATTAGTAGAATAAAGTCAGATAAATACAATGATTTGAATAAACGCCCCCCCCCCCCCCCCCCCCCCCCCCCCACGCCACACCCCCCCCACCCACAGCCCGCANTTGAATCACCTTCATGATACCCATTTATAGAAGTATTTGCTTATCGTATTCGTATGAAAAACAAAACTTTTATCATTAAACCCCCCCCCCCCCCCCCCCCCCCCAAAAAAAGGAATCCTGGTAGCCGCTCAAGCTTATTTGTAAAGAGAGCAAAATAATAAAATTTATTATTTTTTTCATATAGACATTAATGAATCAACCGTCTCAATTAATTGAATCGAGAAAAAATCATTTTACTTTACCAATTATATTTTGCATTGATATTCATCGTTTATTAATAAAAGAACATAATACTGATAGTAATGGAAATAAACTTGTCGAAAATTTATCAATTGATGATGAATTTGATATAACTAATGAAGGCAGTGAAGCTGAAAGTAACAATTCATTTATTTATACATTATGTGAACGTTTAGCCGAACAATTTTCATTTAAACATATTCAATTTGGAGATTCAAATAATATTTTACTTAATTTTGATCAATTAAAAACAACAATTATTGAATCAATGAGTACATGTACTGGTTATATTATTGAACATTTTCCAACTTCATTTGATAATCTTCAAAAATTTCAAGCAGATGTAAACATTGTTTTTTTTTGTCTTCTTTATTCCTTGTAAATCTATGAAAAAATTTTCTTGTTCATTTAAGATTGGTCCTTGTTCAGCATTAATTTATATTGGTGACCATAGAAATGAAACAAAAAATAGTGAATTCAATAGTATTATTGAAAAATTTAGACAAGAAAATAAATCTATTTTTGTAAGTCAAATGTTTTTTTTAATAAATGATTATTTTTCTTTTGTTTTTTATTTATTCATTTCAGATTGATTGTCGAATGGAAGTTGATGAAATTTATGAAGATCTCAAGAAAGATATACTTCAACTTATTTGAAAGCGAATATTTGCAATGTTTCGGAATTAATGTCCTACGCCTTTTTTTAAATTTTATGTGACGTTGTTTTTTTTTCTACATCTAGTCTTATCGTAATGTTTTATGTGCAATATAGCGGGGTCAGACCTCTTTTCCTTCTCCCTTGCTTTCATTCTGATGTACGCTCGCTTTCGTCCCATTTATAGTCTTATATATTTTCTTGTGCCTCAAAGCCTACCCCTATCGAGGAAGAAGTGGTAGTGTTGGTGATCAGATGCATTTTCCTCTTTTTTTTTTCTGTCTGTCATTCTTTTTTACCCTCGTCCTCTTCGCACTTTTACTATGCGAAGAACAGATGTGAGTAAATATTCATTTGTTCGTCGTACTATGTCGTCTTTGTAACAAAAAAAAGTGAAAAAAAAACAAACACACAAAAATATACAAACTCAGTTTCAATATCAGTATTGCTTTTTTTGTAGATTTAATTTTTATATTTTTTGGCAAAGTTTCAATATTGTCTTCCAATTATGAATCAAATGAATACAAATGCTAATACAGAATTAGCAAAAGACTATATTGCTAAACGAAAAATTCCTCAACTATTCGAAGTAAAGTATTTTTAATCAATATTTAAAAGCAAATATAACGATCTAAATTTTATTTTCTAGGCATTAATCACTGGTCTTATGGTTCATAAACCAGAAGATCATATTGATTTCATTATTGAATCTTTAACACGTGTACGTTTTATTACAAATATTAACTAAAAAGAAAAGAATATCATTATTTTTTTTTTATGTAGCATAAAGATGGCAATCAGCAATTAAAATGGGATACATTTATTGGACGCAAAGGTGGTATGAAAAATACATTGGTTCCATTGAAAACTTCGACAAATACAAATGTTACGTCGCCACCTTCTTCTTCACATACAGAATTGACTCGTCCACCAAAACTTGATGCTATACCAACGGGTAAACGAGAAGAAACACCAAACATTGAAGAGCATCCACAGTCAACAACACCAGATGAACAACAACAAAAAGTAGATGATCATCAACATATAAAAAGTGAAGAAGTCAATGTTAAAGATTTAGTTAAAGGCAAACCAATTATTTTTGTTGGTGGTGGACCAGGTATGAAAATAAATATTTTAATATTATATAAATAAAATCTTATCATTATTAAAGGTAGTGGTAAAGGAACACAATGTGAAAAAATGATTGAAAAATATGGTTTTACACATTTATCAGCCGGTGATTTAATTCGAGCAGCTGCAGAAGACTCAACAACTGAAAAAGGTCGTTATTTTAATGAAGTTATGTCACAAGGAAAACTTATATCAACAGTAATACAAAAAGAGAATTAACATTCGAGAAAAATATAATAATAAGACTGACTTTTTCTCTACTTCCTTTTTCAGGAAGATATTCTTGGTTTACTTAAAGATGCAATTCAAGAAAAAGTCAACGAAGCTTCCGGCTTTTTAATCGACGGATTTCCGCGTCGCGTGGATCAAGGTAATGAATAAAGATACCATATTTTATTTTTGCTTTCTAATCATGAACATTGAAAATTTATATTTATTTTCATTCCAGTAGTAAAATAAAATCTAGTAAGTCTTTGATTGGTTTCTCCTTTATATCGAAATTGCTCAGTTTTGATTATCTATTTATTATTAATAATAAAAGTTAAAACTAATTTCTTTTTATTCATAGGTGTACAATTCGAAACAGATGTTGCTGCATGTGATGTTTTAATTTATTTTGATGTACCTGATGAAATAATGATTGATCGATTAACAAAACGTGGCGAAACAAGTGGTCGAATTGATGATAATCAAGAAACAATTGCCAAACGTTTAGTTACATTTCATGAACAAACAACTCCTATTTTGGGTTATTATGGTAAACAAGGAAAATTAATAACAATTGATGCTAATCGAGAGCCAGATGAAATATTTGCTGATGTATCACAAGCATTAGTCGGCTTAATGGAACAAAAGCAAGTAGGTAAACAATAAGAATCTTTTTTTATATATAAATTTTTCATATATGGAAACTCAAATACAACGAAGAAAATCTTTATTTTTCAGCTTAATAGTAGCCATGATTTATCAAGTGAAGGTATATTTGTGACCCTTCCCCATTTTTTGTTGTTCACCATTGTGTATTCAAAAATCACGTTTTCTGTCAAAAAAAAATGATTATTCTTCACTTATATATTATTTATGGAATTTGTTATGATAGAAAAAGAAAAGAATAATCGTATTTTCATCACTGCATGTTTGTGTATTTGTACTTATTTATTATCCCAGAAAAGTTCTCTAAGTCGGTCTGACATCTATGTTTGGTATTCTTGGGTTTCTTTTTTTTTTTGTTTTTTTGCGATCAGAGAAACAAAACAGCCAGCATATGTGTGAAAGGTTATATCTTGATAGACCAACGAAAGAATGGCTTGTACATTTATGGCTACGATAGTTTCTTCTTCGTTTACCATAACATATTATTTAGGAAGCATTGGTGTCTTACATATATTTTTTCTCTTCTCTTTTCCTCTACCACCGCTTATCTTCCTCGTCTTTTTTCTCCTCTCCTACTGTTTTCGCTAGTACCAAATACTCATATAACTAGTCTTTGTTCTTGTTGTTTGTGTTGTCATTGTGTTGATAGTTGCTTCTAAGAGATACTGGTCTGCACCAAAATACAAAAAAAAACTAATACATAACAAATATGGCACCCGGTGAGAATAATAGACAATTTCCCCGAACACTTTCTTCACATTACTTTTATTCAATTTTCGGATCTTTTTGCAATATTTTTATCCCTAAAATGTCGTTAATATTAATCAATTATTTATAATCTTGTTTTTGTTTTTTCTTAGTTGTTGAACAGAAACATGGATTAGATAAATTAAAAAATTCTAAAATTATCTTTGTCGTCGGTGGACCAGGTTATTTTTATTTCTTTTTATATTCATAATAAAGAATTTTTATTTTGTTAGGATCAGGAAAAGGTACACAATGTGAACTGATTGTTGAAAAATACGGATTTACACATTTAAGTACTGGGTAAGAATCAAAAATTGAATATTAATAAGAAAGCAAAAGACAATTTTTCTATAGAGATCTTCTTCGTGAAGCTGTTCAATCAAAATCTGAACGAGGTGAACAACTCAATGCATTAATGAAACAAGGCAAATTAGTACCAATGGTATTTGAATCATATCTTTTATTGAAAATTACTTTCAAAAACAATTTTTTTTCAGGAAGTTGTTCTTGATTTACTCAAGGAAAACATGCTTAAACGTGTAGATAAATCGAAAGGTTTTCTCATCGATGGATATCCACGTGAAGTTCCACAAGCAAAAAAATTTGAAGAAATGGTAAATTATGAATATTGGAAGATAAAATATTAAATATTAATTTTATTTTATTTTGTTCTGTTTAGATTGCTCCATGTAATCTTGTTCTTTATGTTAAAGCAAGTGATGATACAATGATAAAACGATTATTACATCGTGGTCAAACATCTGGTCGAGTTGATGATAATGAAGAAACGATTAAACATCGTTTAAAAACATTTCATGATCAAACATTTCCCGTTTTGGATTTATATGAAAAACAAGGCAAACTAGCTGAAGTAATTTATTAAATTATAATTGTAACATATTAATGTTTAAAATTATTGTTCTGCTGTAGGTTAATTCGGAATTGGCACCAACTGATGTTTTTACTGAAGTACGGTCTGCTCTTGATAAACTTGCTTAAAAGGAAAAAGAAGCAAGAATTATCTATTCATCCGGAAATGAAAAAACAATGACATTACTCAATAGCTTTATTATCTTTAGTTAAAATAATGAATAAGTGTGACGAAGTTTGGTTGCTTTGTTTATATAAGTTCTTTTTTTTTGTATTATTTTTTTACCTTTCTTTTTAGCGTTGATTTCTTTTCTTCCCTTTACCAACGCTCCATTATTAAACTATTGCAACCGATCCTTTACCATCTCGAGCACGTTTTTCTTTTGTAAAAATATGAGAATTAAAAACAAATAAAAAAAATAACTTAGTTTGACCGAAATTATAAAAAGATTCATGCTATTTTCTCATAAAAGACTGATGAATCAAACTATTGCTATAAACGACAATGTATGCCACAATGAATATAATTATTTGGATCAATTCTTCTTTCCTGATTTGTTAGTTTTATATAAAACTAGAAGACAGAAAATAATTCTCGAACATTCTCTACATCTGGTATTAAATATGTATTTAGTAATATGGTTGTGTTTATTTTTAGAATGCTGCTTACTATTGATATATATAACCAGAGATATCATGTTGACAGGAATTGGAGATGTAGTATAGAAGACAAAACTATTCATTAAAGACATGTGCCATTATAACGTATGATAGAATACAAAAGAAAAGTGTTATTGTTTCAAGATACTTTCTTTTCTAAAACAAATGTTTCTTATAAAGTCGTAATTTCTGTTCTATTTGAATGAAATAAAAATATTTGATTAGAGTTAAACCAAGTATCTGAATTAGCAAAATTGCTCATGCTAAATGTCTTCTGTAGAGAAATCAGACTTGATTAAAAGTGATTCAAGATAATTTTAAATAATAAGTCTTTTCACGTCGATAACTTTTGACACTACTAAACTTGAAAAATGAAAAAAAACTGAGTATTTTGTTCTATAAAACTCGTAAATAAGCCAATGTTTAGTTCACAAACATCGAAGACTACTATAAAATGCAATTTCCTTCGAGATATAGTAGCTTTGAGATAACATATCTCTCTATTAAATTTATTTGATGATTATTTCTATCTAATAGATGATCTTTTGTTGATTACTTTTTGTCGTTCGTTTGTCACCTTAGGGACCATCATCAATAAAATAGATACTTAAAATATTCTCATATAAGATAAATATCATATTAGATCATCGTGACTTTTATCAAGTTTCAACTCCTATGAATCAAAGTTTAAAAGGATTAGAGTTGACCGTAGAAAAATAAATTGTATTTTTAATAGAAAACTCTTCCCGTGTTCTCTTGCAATATAGAATGACTTTTTGTAATCTAATGAAGTATGGTTGTAAATAGATTTTTATTTTTTTACAACTGAAACAGCTGACATTTTTCTTCCTCTTGTACATTTTCACAACAGGTCATATCTAATCTCTTTGCAGGATAAAAGTCCATATAATAAATCAAATGAGAAAGTTCATTTGTATGTATTCAATTAAAATGTTTTTGGCATGGAATATCTAGACAAGGCACAAATAAGAATAGCGTTGATCAATCAAAATTCGAAGAAGAATCAAAACTTCTATCTGCACTAATCGACATTCTTGCTATTGCTCTTTCCAGCTTCTTGGTTTTCTTGGTTGATCAATGAAGATTCTTTTTAATTTTGAAGTTCAGGCAAAATTTTTTCAACATGAAAGAAAAAAGGATTCTAGTTTGAGATTCAAGATGAAAAGTATCTGATCGAATTAATGAAAAAAATAAGAACTTGGAAAGAATTACAGGATATATAAGTTTTTTTGAAATTTAGAGGAGCTTTTTTTCCCCATTGAAAGATTATTATCTGATCCTCACGAGTCATGCCCAGTGTGACCAAATTTTTTGGTCGCGGTCGCGAGGGGTTGGTCACGATCTCAGTGAGTCCACCCCGTGATCGTGACCGTGAGTCACGGTCCTTCGTTCTGATTCCTGAACATGAAAATAACTTTCCAGAAGAAGCTATTGCAAAGTTTCCGTTTACTATGAAAGGTGATGATCGAAAAGGGGGGAGGGTGAGCGGCACAATGGACAGCCAGGCGACAAAATCGATTTTCGAGATTTGAATCTATATTGTAGCTAGCATTGAAGCTAGTGCGATGCTGCATTTAAGCGCATCCTGAATGCTGTTTTATAGCGAGTATCTGTTAAAAAGTAGATACCGCAGAGTAGATGTACATAAAATAGGTGAACATCTTTAATGGAACCATATAAGAAAAATGTATGCTTTAAATTGACGATCTAGCTATATTCAATAGTTATCATATAGTTATACAATGTTATGTACTTACTATATATTATAGGCCATTCGGACTTCTTAAAGTTCTTGAGGCTATAATAAGAGCAGAAACTTAGGCCCTGTATAGTGAAAAATAGGTACTAGCCAGTAATGGAATTCGTTTTCCAGAGCTTTAATTCAAGTTTTGTTTTTGTTATCTGGTAGAGCATATCATCATCTATCTTCAGTGGATGCGCAACGATGCACCATTGAACCCTTGTCGAGATATTTGATTTTTATGGCATTTTGTAGCACAACACCATGGTCCCCCTCAGATTCACCTTCAAAATCAACTTTCGAAGTTCCACTTGAAAGTTTGCACAAAGAAAGATCTCAATGAGATAATTTATACCTCAAAGTTTCAAATTTCTTGGTTGCTTTTATCCTTAAATATGAACATTTCACATTTTGTGCTGTAGGCGATGTGAATAGGAACATTCTTTCTTATACTCGTATCTCGGGATAGAAGCAATCCAAAAATCCAAAACATTCGTAAGAGAGCACCCATCAGACCGTCAAGATATTGAAGTACTCGACAAATTTTTTACTTTAGATCTTAGATGCTCATCTTAATTAGTGTCATCTGAAACCTCTAAATCCAAATTTGTAGCACATTCGGTCCAGCTGGTCAAAAATTAGCTCAATTAGACTGTCGAGCACTCACGAAGATATTTGGAAAATATTATCAAAAATTTTCCTTAAAAATTTCAGTGTTTTGTTTAGAATACAAAGTTAACGAAATTTTTTGTGTAATATACCAAACGATAGAGCATCGCAAGCTGAACAAAAATAGCTATTTACATATCCCATTCTAATGAATTAACCCAAAGTTATTTATTAAATACTGTCGAGGACTGACAATTTTTTACTTAAAAATGTCCATTTTTTACAGTATATCGGCTGCCATCCAATCTTTTTACCAGACCCCCAAGCTGATTTTGAGATATGTTGTACAGTTTTTTCTCCTCTACAAAATGATTTTGAAAAAGTTTTAAAAAAGTTTTCGCTTGAGGTGAAAAATGGCTAACCTTACTCTCATATTTAATGTTNGCTTTTAATCTGAAAAATTCAAATTAATTCGAAAATGCAGTATAATTTAATCTAATAAACTTTGAATTTTCGATTGTATGTTCGCAAATGAGAGGATACCGTCTTATATATATTCTGATAGAGAAAAAAATTCTGCATTGAATGAGTCTGTTCTCAACGAATTTTAGACGAATATTGATGGTTTTAGAGACAAAAAACTGATTTTTAAGCCTATCTTTTATGCATAAGATCTTTCTTATTATCCAAGGAACTTTCAAAAATAATACGATATTTAGAACCGGGACACTGAGTTCTATCGATTTATAAATGTAACACTTGGAATGAAGACAAAAAACTTTTTTCGAATTCCTGAGGGGGACCCCAGGCACGAAAAAACCACTTCTCTTGAAATATAGAATAAAGTTATGGAAAACAATCAGAGTTCATCAGACTATTGAAAAACGAAATAATTTTTGTTTTATGCACACTTGTACGCCAATTTTGGTGACTGTGTCGTTATTAGGGACAAAAATTAGCTGGGTGTCGTTATTAGGGACATTTTTTTTGAAATCGTTTCAAATGATTTTTTTTCAAATTAAATATTTCATTAAGACGCAGTTGATTTCCCGTGAACCTTTGGATTTAAATAGAGTTCGACACGCTCTACAAAAATGCAAGCGAGACATTTAATTGTTTTCCGGACAAAAAGCATGAAAAAATAGTTGTTATTAGAAAAGTCTCTTTTCCGCTTAATTTTCTCAGAGTGTCGTTATTAGGGACAAAAAATGGCTGACTGTCGTTATTAGGAAAATTGCTCCTAATAACGACACTTGAAGTCCCTGATCGTAGACCGCTGATTTCTCCACTATTACGCGATGAAGAAAGACCGTGATCATACCATTTGAAAGAGCAGACTCTGAGGATCTTGCATATATAAAAATATTTTCGATCGGATGTATAATAGAGGCGTACCACGATAAACAAGAGGAGTGAAAATTCTCGTGTCGTTATTAGGGACAATGACTCTATAAAGCGCATGTTCCGAATAAGAACATCTTTTCAAATGCCGTGAGAGTTTTTCTTTTTTTCTAAAACGTTTATATAGGAATATATAGATTTTTTATATTTTTGAGTAGAGAAATATTTTCTGAATCAAATGATATAAAGAAAAATTTAATTATCTTCAAAACTACCTGAGCAATTAGCGGTAGTTTGCGAATAATTGAATTTGTTCCTATTAGAACCTCTGTTCCTAATAGGAACAGGCTATTTAAAATATAGGGAGAACGAGAAAGTTTTAATAAATGAACGTTTTTGCTCTCTAAACTTGAAAACATTTTTGTAGTCCCATGACAAAAATTGTTTCTTATCAATCAAGACATGTTAATCTCAAGGTTGAGAATTTTTCGACTTATATTGACAAAGATATCAAAGTTTAAAAAATAACTCGCCTGTCCTTATTAGAAACACTGTTCCTAATAAGAACATTCTATGTAAAATGAATAGAAAAATAAATATTTTTATTAAATGGACATTTTTTTAATCTCAACTTGAAAATTTCGATATGGTTTCTTGACAAAAAATGTTTCCTAATATATTGTGAATTAATTTCCAGTGGTTCGAGATAAACGAACGTTTTCTTTCATATTTGTAATATGAATAAAAAAAAAATCAT